AGACTTTCTTAAGAGGGAAAAGATCTGAACCTTTTTCCTCACTTCTCCAGATAGGCAGTGCTGAGAATCAGGAGGCCCCAAAGTAGGCCCTTAGGTGTTCCATTTGGTCTTTTTTCTTAATTGTGTGACGATGCTTAGGCAAATTTGTGCTGATAATGCTGCTGCGTTAGATAAGGACTGCTCTTCTGGTCCTGTCTGCTGTGCCCACATCTCCTCGAGTTAAATGACCATGTAACTGTGCACCTCATCCCTGGAATGGCAGACCAAGCCAATACAAGTTGTACTGCAGTGCACGTTACTGACTGTAGACAGCTGATCTCTCCTTTGTGCATAGATGACTTTCCCCGCAAAGTCACCCCTTCTTGATCCCTGTGGTAGGTGGATCCATCACTCTACAATCTTTGTTCTTTGATCTTCTGTTAATAAGGTAATTACTATGCTGATGATAGCCCACATAAATTCTTAGAGCATTCATTTGGTGCTGTATGAGAAATAGCTGTACAGTAGAGCTTTCGACTGTAAAGACACTGAATTGGTGCCACAGGAGCTGCTGACTCCTGGTGAAGGTTTCTGAGCACTGTTCAAGGTTATTGCAGAGGGCTGGAGCATACAGTGCTAAGGGCAGCAGCTGGGATTTCTTCCTTCCTTTTGGAACAAGAAACAACACAGTATTTTGTTGAGGTGATCACCTGCAGAAGCTGAAGAGCTCAACTGATCTTGCAAGCAGATAATCACATAGGTAGCTTTATTTTTTTTGTGCGTGTGTGCACATCTTTCTGGTCACAGGCTAGTTTTGTTAGCTTTGCCCAGGGGCTGTGTGAGTAGCAGATGTGAATGTAGAGTAGGTCCTTGTGCTTGTTGCTCTTGGCTGAGGAAGGCCATGATGCGGTGCTGGAATGTGGGGGCTTAGGGATAGCAGCTGCTTTTCAATTCCTCTGCCAAGCTGTGTGTGTGTGCTTCTTGATTTTTTTTCCTCATTTTCATAACCATTTACTATGCCATTTGTTGATGAACTATGTGTAGCAGGCAATGAAACTCCTACCTGTACAGGAAAAGCATTAGGAGCATTTTTCCTGCACTCGATAATGTAAAGCTCCACAAAAAGGAGCGTATTGAAGTTGGCACTGTCTGAACAGGAGCAGAGATATGAGCGTGATCCAAAAGATAAGGGGAAGGTAAACTTTTACCTTAAAGCTCTGAGGGGCCAGTCAAAGGAAGAAGTGAAGAGCTTGCTTATTGTGTCAATTAGGGATGTGTGGTGAACATCTGGTGTTTTTCAGTCTCTTAGAGTCCACAATAACAAGTGGCGTAGGCCTGCTGCTCTTTTACTGGTAGTATGAACAGCAGTAACAATCAGGTTTACCTGGCCCTTTTGTTCTGAACTTCAGAACATCAGCTGTTAATAAATAGCAACTTTAACGATCCAGGCAGTACTTGGCTTATGTGTAGAGATGGCCAAGGTTTTTCTCCCTGCCTTGCTCTGATCAGATGTCAGACATAGGGTGGTGTGTTTGTCTCCTGCTCCCCAGCCAGAGATAGGAATGGGTCCCCTCTGAAAGCATGGAAGGGATACATTCCCTTCCAGATCCCAGGGAGGTGTGGGGGGGGACATGTAAGCTGTCCCTAACATAACAAGAGCAAACATCATGAGGAGTTGTGCTCTGCTGTGCTATCCAACTGGGAGCTCAGTGTTCTGTTCTTGCATTAGGTACTGCAACGTTGGGGGGAGGGATCTGTTTGTGAGGATGGTGTCTGTGAAGCCCCAGATGGATGCTAAGCTCATATCCTTGCCTTCATTTTGATAAAAGTTAAGAAACTCACAGGTGTTGATGCTTGATTTGCTGATGTTTGGAGGCTGCTACAGAAATGAAAATCAGCATTTGGTTCCTAATCAAATCTTGCTCAGCTCTGAGGTATGCAAACTAATGAAGTGCCAACACACGTGAAGCTGGGTGAATAAACTGATAGCACACTGTGAGTTCCCGAAGTTCACAGTTCTCATTTCTTTCTTCTGCTTTGACTGTTGGGTGTTGAAGCGTGTGACCAAGGAGCAGGTACAGAACTTGCCTGAGCCACGGTGCTTAGGAGGAAAGCACAATGATTTCTAGTATGAGGAATCACAACATCTGTTTGTAACCTTTGTCACAAGTGGAACAAATTATAAAATGGTAAACGCAGTTACTCTGCCAGTTGGCACATGCTCAATTTCACAAAGCGTGCCAGTTAGATTCAATACAAACATTCCCTCAGAAGGATCACCTTGATTTAATTCTTTTTCAGATGCGTAAAGTAGAAATGGTCTGAAGCTTTCTGTTTGTCCTTTAAAGACTGCTATATTTCTAGCTCTTGGCAGACACTGTCCACAAGTACTTCATGTTCCACTGGGCTTATGCCAGATTTAATGTACTGTGTGTACTGAAAGCAGCAAAACCAGAGTGACTTCAATTTTAGATTTTCCAGCTACCATTATTGATATTTCTTAGATCTGTTCCATCCAGCCTATCATTTTAATTTCTTTTCCCTCTGGGAATTTGTGGGAGGATCTTGACAGTGTTTATTTGCCTGTCTGGGGACTACTGATGTGAGTGAGTGCCGTGGATCAGGCATCTCTGCAGAGGCCAAACTCTCCGTTTATGGGAGCTAAATCCGCACACTGAAATGTTCTTGAGCTCCTGACTTTCACAGTGATGGGCACACTGTGAGCAAGAATAACGTTATAAGCCAAGTCCTTCAGCTGTTCTTCAAGGAACTTGAATTTGGTAAAAATCTGAGATGAGAAAGGACTTACTGTCAGCTAACCTTAGTCCACGCAGTACCAAAAATTGCGGGTTTCTATTTCGCAGTGCTCCTATGCTGTACAGATCCAAGCCTGTAAAATGCCAGACCCTGAAGAGACAAAAGAAATGAGGTAAGGGAGAGAAACAGAGCAAGTAGAAGCTGTGGTAGTAGACAAGGAGAGGAAGGAAATAACTGGGAGAAGGAATGGGGCACGGTGCAAAACGGCCAACCAGCATGGCTTGGTTTGTTCATAGTACCACAGTCATCAGGTCTGCTGATCCCTGCCTGACAGCTGTGTCTGTTGGCTTCATATTTTGGCTGTTCATCTTTTATTTTCAACCCTCAGGGCCAAGTAGCTGCGCATAAGCATGGCTTCTGGCCAGGTGGCTCATCGCCCTCAGAGCAAAGCAGGATTCCCTTCTATTATGCTGATGTGGAAGAGTGTGGCACTCAACAGAGCCTGGTGTTTCCCCCTCCCCCTCTTATAGTTTTCCTGTGCCTCTTATTATTAAATGCCGATCTGTTCTGGTTTGCAACTGCACCCTCTGTTAGTGCTGCTAGAGCAGAGTTTGCTTAGTTCTTCAAAGATGCCTGAAACTGGGAAGAGGGGGAGGGGTCTCTTGTTGCAGAGGGATTTGAAATCCCAAGCAGTTCTGTGTTCCTCATTAATACTTGACATATGTGGGAATTACTCGTTAGTCCTCCTGGCACCCAGTGGTTTTTGTTAGGCCTGACTTCTTTGCCTAGTTTAAGTTGTTTGGTGTTCACGCACAGCTTGTAGTTCAGTGCCTGCTCCCAGATAGGAGTGTAGCAAAGACAAACAGAAAAATTGTCCTGTAGAAAGAAAGTACAAGACATGACTAAACAGTCAAAGCACAAAAAATGACTAAGGACAGAATCAAAAAACTGTTGCAAACCTGCTTTTGTATCCAAGACCAAATTGAAAGTTTTTAGTTTATTGCAGTTACTGTGCTTATTTTCAAACTAATTTTCAAATGTTCTTTGTATAAAGAGAGTATTTTGTGTTGGTTTTTTGTTGTACCAAGTCATCTTTTTGCTAGCTTTTGTTACACAAAAGAGCAAAACAATGTAAATAAAAGGGTGCGTGTAAAGAAAACAAGAATCAACTTCAAGGTGAAGAATAGGAGTGGCTATGTTTCCTTGCTTTTTCAAGATTAAAAGTAGCTTTTAAATGCTGCTGAAGAACAAACTGCTTCCTGTCGTCTCATTATTAAGTAGTGCATTCATTTAACAAAACCCAGGCACTAATTTTGTTCTTTTTTGGAAACAAATGTACGGTCAGCTACATTGAGTTCTCTGTTCCTGTCTGTTTACAAACACGTACGTGAAATGTAGTGAATCCAATTGAGGAATAATAGGTCTGGGCTTCAATCTGTGAACACCATAACGTGGCTGTGCAAAAATGTTGCCTAAATGCAAGGCAGTGTACTTTATGCTGTCTTGAAATTAATTAACCACAGGTTGAAATCCTGCTGTAGGTCAGCTGTAACCTGGTGCGGGCATTCCTACAGAATAGGTGAGGAGGATAGGTGGTAAATAATAGTTCTGTGATGCAGTGCTCCTGTCCTTGCACACAGGGCTTGTATCTCTGTACTAGTGACCAGGTTCCCAATGAGTAGGAGCGGTTTGGGAAGGGATCTTTGGAGATCATCTAGTCCAGCCCCTTCTGCTCCCCGCGCTCAAAGCAGTTTGAAGTTGAAGCCAGCACTTTAATCTTTTCATTCTGAATAGTCTTGAGCAGCATACAAACAGCATACGTTGTCCACTGGCATTACTACCAATCTCCTGTCAATGTATAACTTGGAATTACTCAGTATCACTCCAGAATTTTGTGCTTTTTTTTTTTTTTTTTGTAAGTCTTGAGCATGCTTGAACAGACTGGTATCTGAATTCACTGAAAAATTTTGGACAACTGAATGTTTGAGCTGCTGTGCGCTAGGAATATCGATTGGGTGTAACATATGCCATATTCAAAGAAATGCTATGAACAGAAGAATTCCTTTTCTCAAAATGTCTATTTGTTCAGACATTGAGCCAACCAATAAGTCTCTGCATACCCATTCTTCTTTACAGTGGCTGGAGCAACAGGTAGATTTTCTGGGTCTGCCTCCTCCAGCCGACTGTTCTCAAATGGTGATGCTGTTTGGTGCTAATGTGGATGGGGCTTAACCATATGGTCTCGCTCTCACTTTCTCTCGCAGTGTTGAAAAATCTTGTCCTGTCTACACTAGCAGCTAACTGATCTGCACCCATTGTTGACAGCCACCATCATCAACAGGTCATTTTCCCTCTGCGAGCCTGGCTTTTGGTTATGTATCGTAAATCCAAGTGGAAGTGCGGTTACGATCTTGCGGTTCTTGGACACGGTGAGTTTACATCTGTACAGTTACCATAAGAGAGCAAACGTTTCTTCTTGCATCTGAACTTCCATACATGAAAATCTTGAAGAGAAAGGTAACTACAGCTAACTATCATCTACATTCCCTGAAGATGTCCCTTTTATTTAGCTCTTCAGATTTTAAGGTTACTTGCTAGAACTGCAAGTGCAGAACAATACAAACTATTAGTGCTGTCTTGCTGTTACTGACCATAACTATATTTGTTCCCTAAACGCTGCCTTTTTAAACTGGATGGAGAAGTGCCTTAAGTTATTCATGACTGTCTCCTTACACTGACTGCCCCAGCTTTTATAAAACTGCTGACAAGAGATCTGATTGTTAAGCTCTACCAAGCCATATTCCCTCATTCCCTAACATTGAATTTCTACTGAAGACTGTTTCCAGGGGCTCTGAGTTGGTATAATATCACAGTGCCTGCTGGCTTGCTTCTCCCTCTTGTCTCCCTGGCCTGTTTGCATGCAGCCCCACTCCTGGGCTCTGAGTTGTGCAGCCCTGCATGCTTCTTTGCTCTGGATCTGCTGACCACAACCTTCCAGCAAGGAGGAGACATTTCTCACCAACCTCATGGAAGACTCCTGTGATCAAATTCCTTTCTCAGAGGTTCAGGGAGCTGAATGTTGAGCTTTGTCATTAGTCTGACAATATACTCTTTTGATGTGGTAGACCTAAAATGTTTATTTTGCTTTTAGTAGCTCTGTCACTATATGTATGTGGCTCACTCTTTTTTTTCTTTTCAATCTCTTGTCTTTTGGATGACTGCTGCCACCTTGTTTGCACAAAAGCGATAGAGGAGTGTTATGAGAACATCATCTTTTGCTTGCTTAGACCAGCTTTGATAGCAAAACTAAGTCTAGTGAAAGTGAGAATGCAAGCTCAAATCCAATGGGTGTGATTAATAACAAGACGACTTGGCATATGACTTTGAAAATGTTTACAGTTTTACCTTACATGTTGGGGGATCAGAGCCGGTAGGCATGAGATGGTAATCATAATGATGTTTTTCACGATCAAAGGTATCATGACATCAGTGGCTGCTATTTTTATTTAAACTGCCTAATTCCTGAAGCTGGTTGTGAGCAGTCAGTATAGGTGGTGAACAAGCTGGAACACTTTAAGTGTAGAAAACTCAATGTCATGACTTTTTTCAAATGGGCTGGACTTGATTAATGCTGCGTAGCACTTCCAGTTTCAGATCAGCTGTAGATTCCACCATGCCTCTGTTTTCTGTCAAGTTTCTCTTCCAAGGAAACTTTTATTTCACAATACTTGACAGTGCTGCTGTATTTGAAAGTGGAGCTTGTCAGATAATGCGGTGTGATCTAGAGCTTTAAAAGCACTGTAGCTAGTGGAACTTTGTTTTATCAGTTCAAAAGCCTCATCTATTAGTAAAGGAATAGTCTCTAACAAGACAGAATGGGTCAGAGAACATGCACAGTGCCTATAAGCCAGTGTACTTGCAACAAACTTAGCAAGACTCTGCTTCCATAAGAGCTGTGGAATACAGTTGTTAGTGAAGCTGAGTGCTGGAGAATCTCAAAGGTTCCTGGCTTCTGAGTGCTTCATCTCTTCAGTCAAACAGTGCACGACTGAAGTACTGTAGCTGGCACTGAGAGCTGTCTCTGCTCCGTAGCCGTCCTGAACGTCTGGGGGTTATCCAAAATCAGAGTGGTGAATTAAATTACGTGTTCAGCCCAGATCTGCTCTAGTGCAGTCTTGCTTGGGCAGGCTGATAGTCATCTTGCTTAAGCCGGTTAATTCGGTTGGCTCCAATGGAGCTGAATACTTACTTGCAATACTTAGTTGCAGGTAATAAATATGACTTGGATATCAGGTTTGGTGAGGTGACCAGGCAGGTGAACAAGAGCAGAAGTAGGAGTCTAATTCCTTTTCCTTGCTAAGTATGCTTTTACTTTGTTTTTTTTTTTTTTTTTTTTTTTTTTTTTTTTGGCATAATATACTGAGAAACAAAGTCCTGCTGCTCAGTTCAATTGATTGTTTGCAGATGAGCTGCAAACCTTGGTTTTATTTTCGTGAAACATTGTGAAGGCTTAATGTAATAACAAAAAGAGAGAAAGAACTCAGTCTGTTGCTACATTACTGTGCCAGGAAATGGTCTTTCTTCTCTGACCAGTTGTGTAGCTGCTCCAGCCATGGCGTGATGTAGCTTTACTTTTTTATTGATGGCTTTGTTTAGGTTATCCTTTTAACCAATGGTTTTGGCATGCTTCAAAAAAAGAAAGCAAGAAAACACTTATCCTTTAGGGGATCTTGCTGCAATATTCTGCTTTGGCTAAACTTAAGGACTGCAAACATTTATAAAAATTTAATGGGCAAGTCTTCATGTGTGCCACAGTGAAAGCCATCCAAAGTGTGTTGAGTTTGCAAGTAGTTATTCACAGGGCTGAAGCTTTGCCAAGGGATCTTCTAGCATCTTCTGTATGTTGGAGTAGTTTCAGGTTGTTCTGTGCATTTCTGGCTGGAATGATTCCAACCTGTAGTAGAGGACATGAGTTCTCTACTGCATTTTATTAATCTTTATGTTTTTAATTTTTATTCTTGCAAATAAATATAAATCTGTCAGTCTTCAGCATATGTGGGCAAAGTCATATAGCTTTGGGGATGCAGTTTGCAGCCTTTTTTATCCAGTTCTTCTGCTCTACAGGTAGACTTCTATGTAAGTATTTGTTTCTCATTTGTAATATGAGATAGGCACTTAGTTTAATTTTAAATGTGATAACAATGGTACAGCTATATACATGATGTCTCTAAGCTCTTTCTCACTGCTATTAAAGCATAATTTCAAGATGAAAGTGTAGAGTTGCAGATTGGTTTTAGGGCAAAGACTTACATGAATATAGAATTTTCCTCTATTTACCCCTTTCTATTGGCTTTTTTTTTTTTTTTTTTTTTTTTTTTTTACAATTAAAATGAAATTTCTCCCTTACAAACAGAAAAAAAAAGACTTGAACAGGGCTGCAAATAAATAAACTAATGATTGGAGCTGATGCGTTGGTTTTGTAGTGTTCCGTAGGATGGGTATTATTTCCATGTTGGTGCCCTGCTCATCTGGCATCTTTTTGTTCCAGCAGTGCTGTGTACAGGCAAGAACTGCACAGTATGAACAAGGCTATAGGAGGGTTAACTTGTGACAGCACTGTATTTATTTGTGTAGTTTAGACTTTGTGCCTGGGACACGTAATTCACGCGCTTCCTTCAGTAAAATGCTGAAGGTGCAGAATGACTTCAGACTTTCAACTACAACAGTGACTGTGAAGCCAGAGAAAGTCATCTTTGCTTTGTTTAGAGAAGATATGTTACTTTTACAACTGGCTTTAAGGTTGCCAAAGCCTGCTAAGTCTGAGTAGTGACTTCCTAACGCGTGTGATGTGGCTGCTGTGGCTGTTTGTACCTCTGCCTTACAGCATTCTGCTTCTCTGTGCATGGCTGACACGGCATCCCCTAAGTAGCAGAGTAACTAATAAAGCTTGCAAACTGTGAGCAGGACTTCTGCAAACCTTTACGAGTGCACGTGACTGAAGCACTGATGTGCTCCATGTGAACAGCTGTTAGAGATTTGAAGAGAAATTCATGAACAATGTCAGTCCTGAGGGGGCTGGTCTGTCCTGAAGAACTTGCAAAGAGTTATTTCTGAAGAGCCAGATTTCTGGCAATTAATCAGTCTGTACTTAAACAGCTGGCTATTAAAGGACAAGTGAAATAGCCCTTCCATACTAAAAAAAGATAATGCTTCAAAAGCAGGACTTAACGTTTCTTTGGTATACTTGAGGACAGATGCCCAAGCAATAACGTATCAGATGCTGATATGAATTTCTGAGGTGCACACAGGGTCAAAGTTGAGTCTTCTCTCAAGCTGATTCTCAAGGTTCAGGAAGGAAGGAGTCTGTAGTATATTAACAAATCATTTTGGTTCATAAATGGCTGGTTGCTGTAAGCCATATGAAATTGTTTCCAAACTCTGTAAAGTACTGCTGTGTCAACTGTTACCAGTTATAAATGACCTGGTCAGATTTCTGCCAAAACTGCAGCTCGTTGTGGCCCTTTCTGGTGCATTTGCTCTGCAGTTTTGCCTGAATGCAAAGGCTTTTCTGTGAGAGAGAATGAGTAATTCTGCACTGCTTACAGTCCTCCTCTCAAAGCATGCATGCATCTTGTAAAACCAAAGCCATTGCTAGAAGTGAATTTGCCAATGTAAGGTATTTTGCATTTGTCTCTGTGTGTCTGAGTAATGCACGAAAAGGTAGAGATGTGAGTTTTCTTTCATGGATGATCTTATTCAGACCTGTAGCCTAATCTGTAACTGCTCAACTGCAACTGGTGTGAGGCTTCTTCAGGCAAATCTGAAGTATCCAGAGTCTTAGCTAGAATGCAGCTTTAACATGCATTTCTTGTGATGGTGGTGGTTTGGTTGTTTGCTTTTGTTTTGTTTTGTTTTTCCAGAAGACTTTCTTGAGTTGTGTTGCTTGAAAATATTTTGTGGGAGATAGGTAAACCTGCATTGGATGATGAGAAATATACTGAGCTTGTGTCCCCAGATCTCAGTTCTACAAATATGTCCAGTTTCTAGGCCATTTGTTGTATGTTTGCTTTCAGACAGAATTCCACTGTCTTCAGGTGATCAAAGAAGAACTTGTTTGTCTTCAGGAGCGCCTTCCTCACTGGTAGAATTAAGAAGAGTCAAATTGCTGTCTCGCTAATGTAATTTTGTTAGAGTGAGTGATGTGACTGGCCATCCTGGTAAATGCAAGGGCAGGCCACGAGGCTGCCTGCTGAATGGTTAGATGCTGTGTAGCTATGAGTGCACGCTGACTGCTGCTGGAAAGCGTTCTGGGTGCTTCTGAAAAACAGGTCCTGTGTGACCCAAACACTTGAAAATATTTTGCCTTTTGAGGACTTACTGGTGAGTGTGCTAACTCAAAGGAAAGCACTTGCCTTATTCAGCTGGATAG